ACACACACACACACATATAACAAAGATGATTTTCATCGGATGTTAGGCATAGATGGAAAAGAATCGTATGATATTAAAATCCAAAAACATTTCTCATAGGGCCTCTCCAAACTTTTAAGACATTTATTTTGTTACACACATTCCCCCTATCAAGTAGTGTCTGATATAGGAAACTGTTTAAAGCTTTTTAACTTGCTACAGTGAGCCAACTTCTTCATCTCCCATGGTTCATGAGGAGAAGTAATACCATCATTTATAATGTGCTTTTGCGCCAGAGTGCAGGTTCTGCAGCTGACCGCATCAGTACGATCCAAATTCAGAACCCTGAACCATACCCTGGCACAGTTACAACAGCCGGTGTTGGGATTGCTTATATGAACCCTGCAATAGTTTGTAGTGGAAATGCGTACCAGTTCTAAAAGCAAAAAAAAAATTAAGGTCATAAATCTGAAGACAAAATAGTTTGATGTCTTGTGGGGCTACATGGGGCAGTGATGAGCTGCTTGTTAACACCAAACCAGCAACATAGACCTTATGAAACAGACTTTTCTCTAATTCTTTTTTTCCCCTCTCCTTATTTAGCTCAGTACTTCTGACAAAGTCGGTTTCAACTCCATGTTGTTTGGCCTGGTCTAGCGATCTCTGGGTGAAAGCCAACCCTGTCAAATCACGGTGCATGTTATTTTTTACTTACATTTGGTTCCACACAACCCAGGGTTATTAGTTGGATGACTGATCACAACCTAACCCCCAGATTCCACATCCTCTGTCACCGCTCCATCCTGCTCATGTAAGTTGTGACAAGCGCTTGCGCAGTCATGTTAATCAATGAGAACTGTTCCACAGTCACTCCTCTGTACGTCGCCATACATGTTTGTTTTCTCCGTCCTTCACTGTCAAAATACAGAGCCGAACTATTTTTTCTTTCTCTCCGCTCCGGCCCGTTGGAAGCCGGCCAGGTAAAGATCCTTACTTGCATTCGTATGAAACAGGAAAAAGAACGCAGAAAAAAAGATCCGGTTTGTTAGTTTAATTTGAATAAATTAACACTGCTTATTTAAATTACAGGATGCAAATTATTGGTACTTCAACATACCGGGAAGCAGATTTTTCATCTTGATCAAAATATTTATTTTATACCGAGATGCTTAAAAGTCTCATCATATCCAGTCAAAACATCAAAGGGCGCATCTGAAACCTTCAAAAGAAACTTCTTATCGCAGGCATGGGTAAAGAGATGCCGAGTTTGGAAGTAGAGAACAAACATAGTTCATAAACCATGTATGATCCTAGTTATCCCTGTTACAAAAATCCACAACAAAGAAACTATTTGGGCA